GGGCTGTCATGGCAGTGGGACTGGGGAGATGGCTCAGCAGTAAGAGCCCTGGCTGCATTTCCAGGGGACCATGACTTGTTTCCCAGTACCCATATGGCAGCTCTCAACTCTCTGTAACACCAGTTTCAAGAGATCCCTCTTCTGGCTTCTGAGGATACCAGGCACATACGTGGTACACATACATACACACAGGCAAAGCACTCATACACATAAAATAAAAATAAATAAATCTTGAAGAAAAAAACCAGATGTATACTGGGGAGAAGCTGAAATGAGAGGGAGGGGCTAGGTTATTCATGACTTTATAAGCTAAGGAGATTGTCCCAGAAAAGAGATCAAAGGGTCCGGGGCATGGTGTGGGGCTGGGAAGGGGAGTAAAGGCTTTGCTTTTATGTGGTGTGACTTCCATTCAGCTCCTTCTCCAGTTACTCACACCACAGAAACTCCATAATATTCAAGGATATTTCATTGTAGCAGATGTAGTTTTTCTCCTGAGTATACACTACCAGGGTCAGAACTGGATGAGTATAACAGCTGAAAACAGAGGCTTTTCTGTATAGTGATATTCCTTATTAGTAGCTGCTGTCAGCTTTTTTCTGCTTTGGATTCCTGGAAACACTTCCTTAGTTCATAAACATGGTCCACCAGACGTGATGATGCACACCTTTAAGCCCAGCACTCTGGAGGCAGCGAGAGGCAGATCTCAAGGCCAGTTGGTCTGTCTACATAGCAAGTTCCAGACATCCAGGGCCACATAGAGAAACCCTGTCTTGAAAAACCAAAACAAATAAAAACCAGAACCATGGTCCACTACAGCAACGAACTAAAACTAAAACATTCAATCTGTGGTGCTAGCTGGTTGTAGTAGCAGCTCTGCTCCAGTCTGGATGGAGTTGTCTGTCTTATCCTGAGGGAGGAACATTTGGGATCTGATTTAGGCTTTTGAAAAGAAGTGCTCTGTTCTTTGGTGAGGATTGGTGGTTAGTGTCATCTCCTGGAGCTGGTTTAAGCCCTGTTTAAATATGGAAGGCAAGCTCTGCCTTTTTGTAACTGCTTTGAGTGGAACCAGTACTGGTGGAGATAGCAGGCTAGAGCAAGAGGCTTTTGTTTTGTTTTGAACCTTCATTGTATTACGCTTTCAAAAGGCATGGGAGGGGGGGAATCTTGACAACTGGATGTCACCCAAGCTGGACTTAGTAAAGGGGGCTCTGAGACAGGGCACAGTCTAGCGTCCTGAGTCCCACCTAGTGCTTGCTGGCCCAGTGCATCTCACTGATTCGCATCCCTGGGTGATGGATATGTGAGGGACTTAAGTTTAGAGGGCACCACCTTCGCAAGAGAGAAGCGAGATTCTAATCCGGTTGTGAAGTCATCGTTTTGGCCTTCAATTTATGACGTAATCTCACTTAATCCTTTAAAGATGAAGTATTAGATAGCTTTCCAACTACAGTGCACTGCAGCCTTCCTTAATTTATTTTAGGAATTTACTGTTTAGTCCAGAGATGGTATTAGACGTGTCTTCTCAAATGTCATGAAGTACGCTCGCCATAATCAAATCCTGTAGAGACATGTGGCTCTCCAGCGGTGCCCCTTTCCGAGTGTCCATCTTGCTTCCATGGTGCTAGGTGGAGCCAGGCTTGACTTTTGAGTGAGTTCATCTGTACTTGTCCTTCCATGTCCTACTCACTGGTCTGAGAAGCCTGACTGCCATGAAGAGAAGCTCTGGATAGTGCTTGCTCCTGTTCTCTGTGGTGTGATTTGCTTTGAAGCTCCTTCTATATGTGAGCTGAAATTTGATACCTGATGGTTCTAGATTGACTTTGAACCTTGTGGAAACAGCATGGGGTGAAATAATTCTACCACAAGCAGTGCTGTATCCTAGGAGCAGTGTCCGATTTCTTCCTGTGGAAACGACCGATTGTGTGCTTGTGCAGTGGTTTGACGGACGCAGCCTCCTAGACATGTCTGTGATAAAATGCATCAGAAGCACTGAGCCCATTCATTCATCTCCAGATCGTCCCATACTATTGTGTGTGGTAGAGAAAGGCACTGAGAGTTACACAGGGGCGGGTGGTCTATCATGTTTGCTTGTGTGTTTGTGGTGGTGCAGAAGCATGTGTGCCATGGTGCACATACAGAAGTCAGAGGACAACTTTGGGGAGTTGGTTCTTTTCCATCCACCATGAGTCCTAGTGGGTGAATTTAGGATGTCATGGTGAGTGCCCTAGTCAGTGTTGTTATATTTATCATATTGTCTGCCGGTTTGAGACTAGAAATAAGATAGGTTCCTGAAGCAGTATTTGAGCTGCAGACTTTTAATCCCGGCACTCAGGAGGGTGAGGCAGAAGAATGTCCAGTTCAAGGCCAGCCCAGGTAAATAGTGAGACCTTGTCTCAAAAGCTCCAGGACTGGGGGTGTAATTCACAAGAGTGTCTGCCAGCATGCACGAGACACTGTTCAGTCCTCAGCACTACCAAAAAAGTGAATGGATGGGATTAAGAGGGGATAGTGCTGTGCTCTTGACAGTCTTCATTAAATATTCAAAAGCCATTAAAGAAATCATCTAGAGGGCTGGAGAGATGGTTTAGTGGTTAAGAGCATTGCCTGCTCTTCCAAAGGTCCTGAGTTCAATTCCCAGCAACAACATGGTGGCTCACAACCATCTGTAATGAGGTCTGGTGCCTTCTTCTGGCCTGCAGGCACACATATTGACAGAATATTATATACGTAGCAAATAAATAAATAAATAGAAATAAATAAATAATCATCTAGAGATAAGGTATCCTTGGTTATTGTGACATCTTAAAATATTAAATTTTTTTTAATTTATGTATGCATGTGTGCATATTATATAAATTTTCATGCCACACAGCCTGCGTGTGGAGGCCAGAGGACAGCTTGTAGGAGTCAGTTCTCTCCACAGCGTGGGTCCTGAACATGGACCTCAAGTTGTCAGCCTTGGCAGCAGCCTTTGATTATAGTCTTTGAGGCCTGGAACATCACTGTAATAAAAACTACCTTGATGAAAACACTTCAGAGAGTCTAATTTACTCTTTTGGGTTTTTTGTTTGTTTTTCAAGATAGGGTTTCTCTGTAGCTTTGGAGCTTGTCCTAAAACTTGCTCTGTAAACCAGACTGGCCTCGAACTCACGGAAATCTGCCTATCTCTGCCTTCTGAGTACTAGGATTAAAGGCATGTGCCACCACCGCCTGGCTTACTCTTTATATTTTTAAGAATTACTGTATGTATATGTTAGAGGGTATGTATCTGGAGCTGGAGTTACAGGCAGTTGTGAGCCACCTGATATGGATTCTGGGAACTGAACTCTGAGGAGCATTTTTACTGATCATCTATCTATCTCTCCAGCCTTCTAATTTACTCTTTAAATTACACGTAGAGCTCATCTTTTTCCTTAAGGCTGTATAAATATGCAAGTTTTAGAAAACTGGCTAAAATCTCACTTTAAAGTCATAACTAGGCCAATCCCTCTGGTCTACTTACGACAGTAGACTAGCTGAGCACTGTGAGAGGCAGCTGAGCTCAGCCTTGTGGTTCTGCTCTGCTCTTTCTGCCGCCATCCTGGTGCTGTGGTAATGGTGGGGTGAAGACGTTGGGTCTAGAATCTCTGTGGCAAACCTGCTGGGCTTGAATGCAGTCACTCCCATATAAAGGCAGGGTTACTACTCAGCACCACACCTGTGGGAACTTCTGGACCGCCCTGTTCCTGCTTCCTTTAGGGTAGTGCCAGTAAACAGCCTTTTGCTAGTCATTCCTGGAAAAAAGAAAATTAGACTTTGAAAATCTAAGGGCACACCTATTTTAAAACCTACAACATAGGGCTGGAAAGGTGGCTCAGCGGTTAACTTGGGTCTTCCAGAGGACCCAGGTTCAATTCCCAGCACCCATATGACAGCTCACAACTGTCTGTAACTCAGATTCCAGTGGATCCTATTCCCTCACAGAGACATGCAGGTCATACACAATGCACATACAAATAAAGCAACCTACAGCATAGATTTACAATGAGGTAAAAGTACGATGATGAGATTGCAAGTATATGATCCTTATTATGGGCATGCAATTAGTTATATGTATATTTTTTCCTGCAAAAATAAGAAAGCTGTTGGGACTGAGGTGTGAATTAGAGGACTGCCTAGCATTTTTTTTAAAAAAATATTTTATTTATTTATTATGTATACAATATTCTTTCTGTGTGTATGTCTGCAGGCCAGAAGAGGGCACCAGACCTCATTACAGATGGTTGTGAATCACCATGTAGTTGCTGGGAATTGAACTCAGGACCTTTGGAAGAGCAGGCAGTGCCCTTAACCTCTGAGCCATCTCTCCAGCCCACTGCCTAGCATTCTTGAAGCCCTGGGTGTGATCTCCAGCACTGTTCTATTGCTGTGAACAGACACCATAACCAAGGCAGCTAACAGAGGCAAACATTTAATTGGGGGCTTATAGTTTTAGAGGGTTTTTAGAAGGGGGGCACTGGTGTGGGCTTTTGAAACCTCAGAGTTCACCTCCAGTGAAACCTCCAACAAGGACACACCTCCTATCTTAGAGTTAATTTTGCAGTGATGAAGCACCATGTCCAAAAGCAACTGGTGGTGATGGGGTGCTAATTCACCCACTATTCCATACCATCAGAAGCCTTGAAGGCAGGAGCCTGGATGCAGGAGCCATGCATGGTGGGCTGCTTACTGGCTTGATCCTCATGGTTTGCTCATCCTGCTTTCTTATAGAACCACCCACAATGGACTTGTCATGTCCCCCCCACATCAATCACTTAATTATCTCCATCTTCAGTGTTTTCTTTTCACCTCAGTTTTTTCTTTACAGAACGTGGAAAAGGATACAGCAAGCAGGAATGGGTGTAAATGTGGTGAGATTAGATTGCTAACTTGCAGGTGGCAAAGTTGGGGTTTTGGCTGTCATTGTGGTGCTTCCTGGGCGGTCTTCCCTGGATTATCTGTAACTGCTCTTCTGTTTCTAGGTACTTGGTGACACATCTCATGGGGGCAGACCTGAACAACATCGTGAAGTGTCAGAAGCTTACTGATGACCATGTTCAGTTCCTCATCTACCAGATCCTCCGAGGATTGAAGGTACAACCAGTAACAGTGTCGTGTGGGGAAATGAATTCTCCCCTCTTTCCTGTCTAATGAGGACCTACAACAGTGGGGTTTTCTTATGAGAGACTTAGAAGAGTTACAGAATCAGCCAACCCTGCTGGTTGTGTATTTCCCAGGCCACAAGATTTCTATGGAACAAGTCTAAGTGTTGTGTCATCCATTCCTTTGATTCTTCAGTCTGAATATCCGAAAGGGTTGCTGACCATATTGAAAAGTTAGTAGCTTCTTGATACAAGCTGGTATCTGATCAGTATGATATTGTGGCTTTAAAGTGTTCCTCAGGCCTTGACTGGCCTCTCTGTTCCCTCAGGACTGAAGAAGTAGAGGAAGGAGGACCACTGTGGGCAATAGATGAGTGCCAGACCATCCGGGGTTGGTCTTGGAGGGGAGGGTGCTTTTCAGGGATCAGAACTCTTACTGAGGCCATCATCAAGAAAGAGAAGAGGGGTGACAGCTCCAGTAGGTGGAGTGGAATCGTAGTTAGTGTCACCACCTGAATAGCGACAACCCATTGTAGACCTGGACAGTGCTCACCGGCTGAGGAGACCACTGCAGACTTGTACAGGGTGTGACAGGGAAAGGCTGGAAATGGTTTTCAACCAACTGACACTGTTCTCTTTTGCAGTATATACATTCAGCTGACATAATTCACAGGGTATGTATTGTGCCTTTGACAATGTGGGTGGGGCTGGAAGAGTGACACTAGCTGAGGGCTCTGTCGATAGTGATTGACTTCAGCCTTGCTCTTAGTGGAGGCTGGTAGAGGAGCACTTGCCTTTGTACCTGCTGAAGGCTGATTTGGCTCGGACACTGACTGTAGCTTAGAAATCCGCTTGTCTTCCATTTGTCTGCATCCTCTGTACCAGGAAGTGGGGGGCTCGTTGTGCATCAAACTGATACTGTTCTCTCCGCTTGCTTCTTAGGACCTGAAGCCTAGTAACCTAGCTGTGAATGAAGACTGTGAGCTGAAGGTGAGGAAGAAAGCGTGGAATATCAGACTGGAACTTGAACTGTAGGCTAAGCAAGCTGTTTAAATGACCTCAGAAGTAGATCTCAGTAACATAAACCTTTAATCCCAGCACTCAGGAAGCAGAGGCAGGCAGACCTCTGAGTTCAGGACAGCCTGGTCTACAGAGCGAGTTCCAGGACAGCCAGGGCCACATAAAGAAGCCCTGTCTCAGGGGTGTGGGGGGAGAAGAAGAAAGAAAAGAAAATTAAATTAGAAATATAGCATGTTGGGCTGGAGAGATGGCTCCAAGGCTAAGAATATTGGCTGCTCTTCCAGAGGTCCTGAGTTCAGTTCCCAGAAACAACATGGTGTCTCACAACCATCTGTAATGAGATCTGGTTCCCTCTCCAGTGTGCAGGCATACATGCAGAGAGAACACTAATAAATAAATCTTTAAAAAAAGAAAGAGAGAGAGAGAGAGAGAAATATAACATGCTAATTGTAATAAAGGGGTATTACAATCTCTGTCACGTTAAGGAATGTTAAGCATTCCTTGAGTACTCACTATTAGATAGTTTTCTGAAAAGAAAAATGGCAAAAACTCAATGATTCAAATAAGATAGAAGTGAATTAACTATCTGTAAAAAGTAAGTCATACTACATTTTTTTACTGAATTTTTGAAAAAAGTAACATACAGGGAGCTAGAGAGATGGTTCACTTCCCAGCACCCACTGAATCTAGAGGATCTGATGCCCACTTTTTGTCTCTGTGGGCACTGCATGCTCTTGAGGCACAGACATACATGCAAGCAAAATACCCATACACACAAAGTTGGAAAATTAAAAATATACAGTAAAATATACCCATTTTAAATTTACGTTTTTTAGGGTTCTAATGTCCATATAACTACTACCATTGTAACATAGTAATCTCCATAACTTCAAAAAGTTCTGAATGTCTCCTCCTAGTGTCCCTCGCCCCTTGCCCTTCCCCCTGCTCCAGGTAGCCACTGATACGATTTCTGACTCTGAATTATTCTTTTATAATGGAATCATACAGAATCATGCATATTACTGTGTTACGGGTATTAGGTTCTTCATCTGGACTGTGTGCATCAGTATTTTCATTCTGTTGCTCAGTAGCAGCCCATCTCAGAAGCATACCCAAGTCTGTAGCCTGTCTTCCTGTTACTGGGTACTTGCCACTGTTCTGGTTTGAGATAAAGCTGTTGTGAACATCCCTGTGCAGACCTGTGTGGGCATATGGCTTTGTTGTTCTTGAGTAAACTCCTCGCGGGGATAGTGTGCTTTGCTGGCATCTTTCTTTTTAAAAGTTCTTGAAGTACATTTGCTGTGCATCTTAAGTCAGGACGGCAAAGCCCACGGAATGAGAGAAATACCATTTTCTTTGTCATAAGGTAGCAGAACTTGCCTTCTCCCATGCCTGATCTCTGCTCTTGCCCTTAGATTCTGGATTTCGGACTGGCTCGGCATACTGATGATGAAATGACAGGCTACGTGGCTACCAGGTGGTACAGGGCTCCTGAGATCATGCTGAACTGGATGCACTACAACCAGACAGGTGCTGCTCCAGTCACCTGCCCAGACCTGACCCAGATGGGGGAGGGGCACTGCTAACATGGTTTTCAGATGACTCAGGGCTGGGTCTTTACCACCTCAGTATTCCTGGGAGGTCCACCATTTACCAGTAAGAAAAGTGTCCTTTTGTGAGATGGTTTGTTTATCCTAATTATATGCTAACTTATACAACCTGTGGAGCCCTTTATTGAGTGACAGTTTTAATAAGCTTATTTATTTCTGCAAAAAAAAAAAATGATTGTTGAACATCAGATGTCTTAAGTGTTGATTTGAGTCTTTTACTCCCAGTTTGTGTCTAATCTGTGGCTATGAACTTGAATAGAAACTGTCTGTATCTGTGTTCTCATTGCTATTCCAGTGGATATTTGGTCCGTGGGCTGCATCATGGCTGAGCTGCTGACCGGAAGAACGCTGTTTCCTGGTACAGACCGTATCCTTTAACACGTTTTTGCCCTGCTTCTCATCTGTGTTCTGCTGTTGTAGATGTGTGTTTCCCTTACTCGTTTGTGAGGAAGGCTCAGTTCCTTGCTTTTTAGTTCAGGTGTTGCTTTGGAGGTCTGTCCTCTTGTTGAATAGCTCACCTTGCCAAGCAAACAAGCTTAAAACTTAGCTGTCGTCTTTTTGCAGCCTGTCCTTATTAATGAGTTTAGTCTTCTGCAAACCCTTAGCAAGCGTGCCTGGCACCTGGAGCTTAGAGGGATCATGTTCTCACATTTGCTTACACTAAAAAGGCTGTGGCCCTCCCTATTCTGACATACCTGCTGACTCTTGTCCTTTTTGTTGCTTAACAACAAACAGTAGAAACAAGAGGAGAGAGTCCCCTGTTGTGTGCTTTTGTTTTCTACACAACATTGTCGTGGTTAGAGCCAGCCCCACTTGAGTCTCATACTCTGCACCATCTGGGTTCTGGGCACCAACCACCCTTTCTATCTGCTGGGTATGTGTTCCGTGATCTAGTAATAATATCGCCAAATGTGGTTTGAGACCTCTCTCCAACTCTGCTTGGGGAGAATGTTTAGATAAGAATGTTAAAACACAAGCTTAAATTCAGTCCTCAGGAAGGGTTTCTGCACCGCTCTCATAGCCTGGAAGTGATTTGGGTTGGGCTCTTAGAAACGACACAGCAACCCGTGCTTCATCTAGCTGCAGGGCTAGCTGACCTGCTACACCTGAGTCTGTGAGCTCACGTGCCCGCAGCTGGAGCTGCTCTTCTCCAGTGACTGTCCTGGCCGTTTCTTCTAGACAATGTCTTTCATGAAGCGGAACCTCTGCTCCTCTGGGTGCTACTGGACCAGAGTCCAGCCTCCCCGTGCTCAGCTCACCCTGTTGCTCAGCTCACCCTGTCACTCTCTGGGATGTTAGCACCTAGAGAATCTCCCTTCCTGTGGGATTTTGGTTTACATGTGTTACAGTCCAGGCTGAGAGGACCCTTCTGCTGTCCTCTGAGCCTGCCCTGATGCTGCCCTCTGGTCTCTTTCCTCCTTGTGGTGTCTCTCCAGCTCTGCTTTGACTAGTCCCAGACATACTTCATAGGCAGACAGACAGCAACATCCATAGGGAACCTCTCAGTTCCTCACTTTTGTAGTCCAGGTATTCATGGGTTAGGGGCCCAGACCCTGGAATTTAGATTAAAGCCCTTTTACTTCGAATTATGTGACTTTGAGCAAGTTTTCCAAGCTTGGTTTTTCTCAGTTTCCTTAACCATAAGATGACGTTAGTGTACAGTCCAGAAGGTGATTGTGAGCCACCAGGGAGTGCTAGCAGCATCTTCACCATGGCTGTGTCAGCCACTTGCCATGGCCACAGAGAGGCCTGAGAGAGGATTTAAAGAAAGGAAGATTTATTTTGGTTCATGGACTCAGAAGTCTCAGTCCATGGTGAGGCTGAGCATCGTGGTAGCGGGAGCACGTGGCAGAGGAGTCTGCTCGCTTCATGGTGGCCAAGAACCAGGAAACAGAAAGGAGATGGGAGAAGAAAGAAGCCAGGGACAAAATGTCTTTCTAGGACAGACTCCTCCCACCAGGCCCCACCTCCTAGTGTTTCCCCCACACCAAAATAGCGCCGCCAGCCAGGGACCAGACCTTCAGCAGGAGGCACTTAATATCCTATCCCTAGCCTCTGAAGGCCATATTCATCTTATAGAGCAAAATGCATTCAGACCATATTCAAGAGTCCAGGTCCTCTTGAGTCTCAGAAGTCAGAAGTGCAAGGCAAACTCTGAGCTGTTAGCCCCTGTTAAAAACAGATTATAGGGGGCTGGAGAGATGGCTCAGCGGTTAAGAGCATTGCCTGCTCTTCCAAAGGTCCTGAGTTCAATTCCCAGCAACCATGTGGTGGCTCACAACCATCTGTAATGAGGTCTGGTGCCCTCTTCTGACCTGCAGGCATACATGTAGACAGAATCTTGTATACATAATAAATATTTTTTAAAAACAGATTATATATTTCCAGTATTACAGTCTCATCCAAAGGTAAGGAAGGACCAAACCAATGCGACATGAAACACAGCATTAAAATTACATAGTTCAGGTCCATCATTAGAGAGCCAGGGTGGTGTGAACTGAGTTCCAAAGGGCTGGAGCAGCCCGGCTCCTGTGACCTTGCTGGGTGTATCCTTATGGCCTCTCTCTTGGCTCACTGCCTGTAGCTGTCATGGTCCACATTCTGGGTACTTGTGTTTCCTGGACTTCTTGCATCATCAGCTTCACCCTCACAGCTTCATGAGTCATGCTCTCAGGCCACTCACAGGAAATCCAGCCCCGGCGTACATAGCCAAGGGAAGTCTGGTGGATACTTCAGCCACCCTGTACTTGGATTCTGCATGTCTCAAAAGCCAGTATCATGCCAGTGACACCAAGGTCCATTGCCAACTTGGGCAGTAGCTTGCTTTTCTTTCTGGAGCATGGCTGCGTGACCTGTGAGTAGCTCAGCACTGTGACTGATTCTTGGGAAAACACTTCCTAAGTGGCCCTTAGTGGGCAGGGGTTCTGGAGGTGCTCTTTTTATGAGTTTACACTTGTATCCTGAACCTATAGTGGTTAGGGGTGTCTCCAACTTCCAAGGGTCTCTGGTGATTTTTCTGTCTTCTCTGCATGGAATTTTGTTTGAGCCTGTCTTAGTTTGTAGCCCGTTGCTGACCTAGAACTCACTGTGCATCTCCAGCAGCCTCAACCTCACAGTGCTCCTTTTGCCTCAGTCTCCTAAATACTAGCTGGCTGTGCCTGGTGTTGGGGCTGCCCCAAGGCCTTTGGAGCTCAGCTGCCACCACCCGAGCCTCCAGTGGTAGACCTGTGCTCGTTCTGGGACCTGGAGCTCTGCGTGCTAGACGAGCACTTCACGCTGAGTCCCATCTCTGGGCAGCTCTGCCAGGCTGGTGTCTTGAGTAAAATAGGAGTTAACCCACTTGGGTTTAGTTTAACGGGGTGAACTAAGTAAGCTTAGCAGACCTCTTCCATTTTTCTTAAGGTCTTGATGAATCAGGAGGTTCTCCTCACTGCCTTGTTCTGATTTCTAGAGTTGTTTCCAAGGCTTCTGGAGATCATGCTGACTCCACAGCAGCATGACTCCTGAGCCATAGCCCTGAGGTTTATAAGAGGCTCATTGATGAGACAGTGTGCTGGCTGCCTCTCTGCTGGGGTCAGTCTCCTCTATGGGTTTGTGTTTGCCTCTCTTTCAATCACTGTGCCTTTGGGATGTGTTATATGGGTGTTGTCATGAGCCTGTGGTGTATATCACTTAATGACTGATTTGATTTTTGTGGGAAAGTGTATATAATGTAAAATTCACTAATTTACTCCATTAACAAAATTAACCTCAACAATCTTAAACTTTATAACTTAACAGCACTAATTACATTCATGATGTCGGACAGTCATTGCCACTAACTACTATGCTTGTGACTCTAGAAGACCCTTCCATCTGGCTTAAGAAGAGTGTTCATAGTAGTTGTGTAGAGTAAGCCCTTCTCTAGAAGCCTGCCTGACTGTGTATCAAGTGAGTTCAGCCAACAGAACTTAAGAGCAAAAGGGGAAGACTGTAGACTGTTTTGCCAAGTGGAATCCTAATGTTTTCCAGATGCCACCAATTTTGAAATCTGTGAGTGTTAGGTATTGGAATCACTGATGCCAGTGATTCAGTCTAAGAGCAGGGAATTGTGTAGCCCTTTCCTTATCCAATATCTACTAGTGATTACAGCCTTGACTTGTGTCTCAGGGTTTTATTGCTGTGAAGAGGCACCATGACCACAACTGCTCTTATAAAGGAAAACATTTAATTGAGGCTTACTTAGCATTTCAGAGGTTTGTTTAGTCCATTATCATCGTGGTGGGACATAGCAGTATGCAGGCAGACATGGTGCTGGAGCTGAGGCCTACATCTTGATCCAGAGGCAGCAGGATGTGAACTGTGTGCCATACTTGGCCTAGCTTGAGCGTAGGAGACCTCAAAGCCCAGTCCACAGTAGCATGCTTCCTTCAACAAGCCACACCTATCCCAATAAAGCCACACCTCCTAACAGTACCACTTCCAATGGGGGCCATTTTCTTTCAAACCACCAAAAGCTTGTTATTTTTCTTTCCTATGTAATCAGATAAATTTCCTTTGTGCATAAAAGTCCCTCCCCCATTATAATGGCTATGCTACTCTTAAGATGTAAACTGTGGTCTGGAGAGATGGCTCAGTAGCTAGGAGCATTGACTGCTTTTCCAAAGGACCCATGCTCAAATCCCAGCATGATGGTTCACAATCATCTGTTACTCCAGTCTCGGGTTCGGTGGCTTTTGGTCTCTGGGCACCAGGCATGCACATGGTGCAGGTATGCACACAGGCAAATACTCGTACACATGAAAATAAAGATTAAGAAAAAGACATGAGTGAGAGGTGCTGGGGCTGCTGGGTCACTCACACACCACTGTTGCTGCTCTGACCTATGTAATGTCCTCCATGTATTAGATCAGTCTCAGTGCAATGTCGGTCCCTTCTTCCCCAAGCATTTTAAGGAACATTGCAGACATACAGGATAATAGTCCTATGAACCCCGTGTCTGTTCCACCCAGATGATGAAATGTGGGTAGTTAAGCAAGCCCACTAGAGTATTTATCATATCATATCTGTTCATTGCTTTCCATTGTTGAGTTCCTTTATTTTCTCATTTTTTGTTTTTTTTTTCCTTTTCTTAAACTCAAGGAGGGACTTAAATGCTAGGCAGATACTGTACCACTGAGTTGCCTCTCCACAGTTCTTCCTCAAACATTGAAGATAAGTGTCTTATTTAGGGCTGGAGAGATGGCTCAGTGGTTAAGAGCCTCCACACCAGCCACTTTTGAAGAGGGAGAGAATTAGTTTCCCACAAAGTGTATGTTGAAGAAGAAAAGTATTTTATGAGATTTGTTGTGGGAACTCCTTCAGCCAATATCCTTTAAGGTATTGGCCCACTTTGTGCCTGATCTCATGTACTATGAGTGCAGACTGAAAGTGTGTGCAGCCCTTTTTTTTTTCCTGGTTTGGTTCCAGTTCCCAGTGCAGAGAGAGGACTGTGGATCTCCACCCTTACTGTGAGTTTGTCCCCAAATAAATAATCCTTTGTTATGCTCCATTCCAGGCTATTGTGGAACTCTTTGACACAGCTACATAGTTTATTATTTGCTCTTTGTCCTTGAGAATGTATTTTCCTAGAAAAGAGTAGATGTCTCATGTTTGTCCAAAAACCTTAGGAAATATTTGTGTGTGCTAGTGAAATTGACTATGTCCATACTCCAAAAGAGAAAGGAGCAGGTTGGGTTCCATTGAAGCCTGTCCTGTCCTGTCCTGTCCTGTTATTAGAAGAACTGACTTCCCTCCTGGAGACTTGTTGAACTAGGCATGAGGACATGGCACCTGTGGTCCCAGCACCTGTGAGTCTGGGGTCGGCCTGAGTTACATTAGTTTTCGAACTGTTCATTTTCCTTTCCCCTTACCTGGTTATTCTGCCTTTGACTTCTGTTACAGAGAATTGATCTCAAAAGTAACCTTGGGCCTAAATTGTCTTTTTCTTTGTATTTTTATAGAAAGACTGAGGAAATTTATGAGTTAAATTTTGGTATTGTCACCCTAATTGGAACATATTTTAAACTGACAGTAAACATAGCTTCTGTGCAGGGGAAGAAGGGCTGCACAGTTGCGAGGGGCAGCCAGCCCACTGTGGGAATGGCAGCCTGCAGTGAGTGTCACTGTGCTCTGAGCTTTGCCGTAGGTGATAGTGTTAGGATTGGTGGTGGTGGTGGTGTTTGTGTGCTTTGCGCAACAGCTCTCAGCTTTTATAGTGTGTTTACTACCTTCCAGCTCCCAGGCTGTGCTGCAGCCTCTTCATCCACACTGGGCTCTGTGCTCATGTGCTGTGCTTCAGATTCTGAAAGCAGCAAGCTTCTTAACTACTTTTTTTCTTTTTGTATAAACTACATAGAATGTGTTGTTGTGGGCTTTGAGAATAGGGCAGTGAGTCAAGTTGAAAAGCATATTATAGCTGGGCAGTGGTGGCATATGCTGGCACATCCCAGCACTCAGGAAGCAGAGGCAGGCAGATCTAGGCCAGCCTGGTCTACAGTGTGAGTTCAGGATAGACAGGGCTACACAGAGAAACCCTGTCTCGAAAAACCAAAAGAAGAAAGAAAGAAAAAAAAGAAAGAAAGAAAGAAAGAAAGAAAAGAAAAGAAAAGAAAAGAAGGAAGGAAGAAAGGAAGGAAGGAAGAAAAGCATATTACAAGTCTCCAGATGAGCCAGCATTTGTCAGGCCGGCTGCTCCAGGCAAGGTGCTGGGGAGATAGATGATGCCACCCTGCCCTCTAAACCAGAGTGGTCAGGCTGAGCTGACAAGGAGAGATGGCAGTGACTTGAACAGAAATCTTCCTCTGGTGGAAAAACAAGGTGGAATGTTTAATAGAGGTATAGATAAATTACTGGGGAGAAAAGCCAAGCATAAATTAGGACTCCAGATAACTGCTATGTACATTCCAGTAGCCCCAGTTCCTGGGGTGGAGGGAGGAGACTCAGTTTAGGTCACCTCGGCTACATAGTGAGTTTGAGGCCAGTCTCAAATAAGCATTTCCAGAGAGACTTCCTGTTTGTACAAGACATAGAAGGGTCAGGAGGAGGAGAAAAGGCTTCATGATGGGGAGTAAAGTCTGTCCTTTATAACAAGCTTAAAGAGGCTTAGAAGTGCCTGGAATATTGGCTGTGAGTTGAAGCGTTGACCCCATTTCAGAATAGTAGTTTGAGATAGGCAGAAAAAGTGTAGTGACATTTCATAGAGGGGCATGAGTGTGAAGCTGCTGAGTCAGTTATGGCTTTCACCCTGAGAGTGCTCACACCTGCAGACAGGGAGAAGGTGTGGAGTGCTTGCCTGCTGCTGAGTGAGCTGCCTTGTCAGAAAGGCTACTGCTCCTCAGAGCAGCTAGGATACAAGCCCGACTGGAGACCCGTACTCCTCAGCCGCTTCGCAGAGTTCTGAGGCATACATCGCAAAACCAGCTGCCGGGGACTGGAAGGGTCTGTTTCCCCTGTTGCACGTGTCTTCTTGCAGCAGCTACTCAGATCGCATGCTCCTGGGAGGTAGAGGTGTGAGTAGAGCTGGATTTATGGAAACCGGGTGGCTTTGTCTTCAAGGAAGATCCTCCTGTCTACCCTGAGTGACCAATGCCCATCTCACCCTCCCTCTGTCCCCACCTAGAGACGCCTATGTTTATATTTGCAGTGGCAGGGTTGTTTTGTTTTGGTTTGGGTTTGGTTTTTTAAACCATTCTCTACCTTGTGAAATATCTTATGTGGGTGGCCTTGCTTCTGGTTTGCCTTTAGTTTGCTGTAGGATGCAGTTGCTGGGTGTGTTGGTTTATCTCTTCTTACAGGGCCAGCTCAGTGACTGTTGTAGGCTTGTGAACTGTGAACCAGTGTGCAAACAACAAGTACACAGCACTGTTGCACTCCAGGAAAGCTTCATGTATGAAACAAGCAGCAGGCCGTGCCTTGCTGTCACCTTTCTAGAATCTTCTTTTTAAGCAGATTTTTTTTAAGGCAAGATGCCATCTTATTGCATAAGCAGTTCCAATAACTAGGCAGCTGTGCTGTGGTTTGCAGAGCTGTTCTCATTATTAAGTTATGCTGTCTTGCTTCTGTGCAAACCAAATCAAGAATTTTCGTCTACTCTATCTGCACTTTAAGTGTTGTTTGTACCTTTTATGTACTAGGTAATAATCTAGAAATTAGGTATAGAATGTGGGTGATGGCATACATCTGTCATCCCAACACTTGGAGGGGGGATGAAGCAGAAGGATCCTGAGTTCAAAGCCAGTCTGGGCTGCATAACCTGCAAAATGAACAAGAGCTGCTTCCCACCCAAGAAAGTAACCAGGGATAGATATCTTACATGCCTGGCCTTGCCTGCCTGTGCACTTGCTGAAGGGACAAGGCACAAGCACACAGACAGTTCCCAGACAGTGCTCAGAGAGTAAGGGATGTCAGAAGGTTGGGAGGGGGCATTTAGACTGGCACATGGAAAAAGGATACAGTCCTGCAGATCCTGGTCATTGGCGTAGATCTGAATAAGCTATTTAGTTGCTCACAGAAAATACTAAAGGCCATTTTTAAGGTGTTTTTCCTCTGACTAAAGGCAGTGAACAAGTAGAGTGTTTGATCTTCTGGTGAATACATGCACATTTGTTCTGAGTAGATAGCAAGGTGCTGGATGCCAGAATGAATATGGGCCCTTTGTCTTTATGCTTTAAACATTATGTGTGACATTAGCTAAACCTTTGTATTCCTTTGCATTCAGAAGGTTGAAGCCCGGTGTACTCAAATTAATTGGGCCACTCTTGATAGAAGCCATAGTGTGTTCCCTCTGCCAGCTGGCTGTTCCTCCTGCTCTGCCTCCTTGGGGGAGGGGGAGGTGTTCAGAGGCACTCTCAAGAGGGCGGGCTTTGGGATCAGAGCAGGCCTCCCAACTGTCAGATTGCAAACTCACTAGGTCAAGCCTTAGGGGAATAGTCAGAAATAGACCACATAGCTGTGTGCTCTGCTGCTGTTCTCTCTGCAGCCCTCTGCTTGCTAGCACTCCCTGCTTAGCTGGCTCCTGGTACCTTGTTGGAGATGAGATGGAGATGTAGGCTAGACCATGGGCTGCGTAGCACGGCTTGTTTTCCTCTGCTGTCTAAAGCCCAACCCCAGTGTCTTTACTTCTGCTGTGTGATGTTGACATATGTGTGTGTGGCGGCACTTTGAATCTTTGTACAGGAGTGTGTCCTGGAAGTACAGCCTGCAGAAGCCTTCCACCTAGGCTCTTTCACCATGTTGATCTTGTTTGGGGGTTTTAATTTTCATTGTTGGGATGTTTTGTTTGTTCTGTTTTATTTTGTTCATTGTTTTTGTTTTTCCACTTTTATTTTGTCCTGACATTTTCCTTTATAGTCCACCATTAGATATTGATCAGTTGAAGCTCATTTTAAGACTCGTTGGAACCCCAGGGGCTGAGCTTCTGAAGAAAATCTCCTCAGAGTCTGTGAGTTGATGCCTTGATTGTAATTACTGCCCTTTTGGGGAGCCACTTGCCTTCCGTCATTCTTCACTTTGACCTTTGAATGTCTGTGCGTGTGTGTGCTCTGTACATGTATATGCACACATGTGAGCCTGCATGTGCCTGCTTGCATGCATGAGTGTGTTTTATTCTATCTTTATCTGGGTGTGGACTTAAGATCATGGGAACCCCTTTGGGGCAATTTATGCTAATAAAACTGAGAGTTGAGATTCCAGTTCATTCTAAGAGGTTAATGGGAAGTCTATGTCTACTTCTGAGCTCTCGCTTCTCTCTGAGATTGTCCACATGCTCAAAGGCTTTTTCTGCTTTCTGTTGAGAGTCTATAATCTCTGAACACTTTTCATGTGCTAGTCTGACATCATCTCTGGGGGGTCACCTGCTTCTTTACTTCCCTCTAGTGGCACATCCTGTGCAGGGAGCCTTCCCATGGGGCTCCTGTCACCCACCCACCCACCCCCCAGACCACACAGAGAAGCTTGCTCCACTCCTGATAATCTGCAGACGGCTCTGAGCTCCTCTAGGTACCTTGGTCAATACAGTGACTAGCACGAGGGGCCACTTGGAACTTATGCTTTCTCTATGGAGGCCCTAAGAAGGTGATTCCAGTTTACTTTAACATTTTTGTTTGTTTGTTTGTTTGTTTACTGTTGATTGCTTTCTGAGGCCAGAAATTTTGAGGAAGCTAGGAAAGTCCCTTCTTCCTCTCATTCCCTCTTAGGGAAATAAACTGAGGAGCCAAGTCCCAGTTGTGCCCTCCAAGGTCCTCCTCCTACCACTTCCCAGTACAGGGGCCCTCTGCCCAGTTGGGCAGCAGGAAGCAGGCAGTAGCACATCACCTCGTCTTGGAAGGCCAGGACCCAGCCTGTGATGTGTGGCTGTACATAAAGGACCGTGGAGCTCAGAGCAGCTTTGAGTTTCTGCTCTGAGTGGGTAAAATGGTGTGCTGGACACACGTCATAGTGCACCGTTTACTTGTTAAGATAAGGAAGTGAAAACACAGAAGCCGTGACTGCCTGACTCATGCTCTGGGAATGGGAGCTCATCTTCGTGCACTTGCACGTTAGTGTAAAAGTCACTGTCAGAGTGTCGGCCCCAGCCGGAGAGCCGGAGCTACGAGGGGCCTTTAGAAAGGACAGGCTGTGTGGTTTGTTTTAGTGTGTTAAAAAGAACGGCTGAACGCCAGGTGGTGGTGGTGCACGCCTTTAATCCCAACACTTGGGAGACAGAGGCACGCGGGTCTCTGTGAGTTCAAGGGCAGCCAGAGCCAGGACTGTTACAAAGAAACTCTAAAAAAAGACGAGTAAGAGGACATGGGGCAGGGTGGGGCTTGGGAAAGAGTCCGGCTGGATAGAGGATGATCTTGGGATGTCCTCTTCCCGCCACCCTCTGCCTTGTAGGTGTGTGCTGCTTGCTATAGGTTCTGAAACACATCTGTGTGAAAGGTAATATACACTCATCACTAACCCATTATCTGTGTTTAAGAAACAATGCTGTATAAGTGGCCTAATAATGAGATGTCTTTATCTTAACATGAAATGGACATCATACATTTCAACAGTTCTACTGCAGCCCTGGGCAAGATTAAATCAGGTACCAAAGTAAGCATCCTCCCAATAATACTCTGTTATACATAGTAACGAGAAAGGAGCTTTTTGCCTACATAAATGTCATGAGTGGATCAGGGTAATCTACATGTTTAAAAGTGTTGGCAAGGGCTGGAGAGATGGCTCAGTGATTAAGAGCACTGCCTGCTCTTCCGGAGGTCCTGAGTTCAATTCCCAGCAACCACATGGTGGCTCACGACCATCTGTAATGAGATCTGGTGCCCTCTTCTGGCCTGCAGACATGCATACAGGCAGAACACTGTATACTTAATAAATAAATAAATCTTTAAAAAAAATAATAAAAGTGTTGGCAAGGTTGATTTAATGTTGATGACACCACCCAGTACTTTTGAATCTCAAAGCACATGATGCCAGTTGTGATAGTGCAAGCTTGTAACCCCAGCACTTAGGCAGAGGCAGAGGGATTGAAGAGTTTGAAACTGGCCTAGGCTACATAGCAACTTTGAGGCTAGTCTAGGCTAATTTTTAAGACATTAAGAAAAAAAAAGGCAGACAGTGATGGCACACGCCTCAAATCCCAGTACTCAGGGAGGCAGACAGAGGCAGGCGAATCTCCAAGTTCGAGGCCAGCCTGGTCTATAGAGTGAATTCCAGGACAGCCAGGGCTATGCAAAGAAACCCTGTCTCAAAAAATGAAGCCAGGTGTTGAGTTGTAGCTTAGTTACATCAACAAGACCATGGGTTTCTTCCCCAGAAGCCCATAAGGGTGAAGAGCACAAAGTGCCTAAGTACAGGTGGAAAAAAAGCCAGGTGAGTAAAATTACTGAGAAAATTGAAAAATGAAAGATATTAGTAAAGACTCATAGTCAACAGAATGCTATAGATACTTCATTTCTCCCAGGAAGAACAGAACAGTGATGCCAGCATGGACAGGCACACAGGACCTGAGTAGCAGAATGTCAGGATGGATTAAATAGTCATGATGGAGGCCCGAGGGCAGAACTGACTTGGCCTGGCACCTAGATTAACCAGAGAAGGAATAAACCACAGTACTAAGAAAGCAAAGCCCTAGCCGGGCCTTGGTGGCACACACCTTTAATCCCAACACTCAGGAGGCAGAGTCAGGCGGATCTCTGTGAGTTCGAGGGAGCTAGTTCCAGGACAGGCTCCAAAGCCACAGAGAAACCCTGTCTCAAAAGGAAAAAAAAAAAAAAGAAAGCAAAGCCCTTTAGAAGTCTTTCTGACCCTTAGATTTGGGGGGGGGGCGGTGGGGACGGGGGTGTCTGATCCTGTTTGACAAAAGCAGACAAAGCCAGATCCTGTACATGTCATTCCTAAGGAAAGAGTTGGCAGGACTTGGGCATGTGAGACCTAACTGAATCCTGCCCTGGCTGGTTCACTCTAAAGCCCTGTTTATTCTTTCTCTTATCATGCAGAGTATTGTTCAGTTTGTAGTTTGCTGGAGGGTAAGTCTAGAGTCTGTGGTCAGAGTGGCCAGTCCGTCTTTGAGCTCAGTAGGAAGAAGGGCAGATACATTAACAGTAATCTGATGTTGAACAGCGTTTGGCACACTCGAGCAACGCAGAAGCGGCATTCAGGGGAGCCACAATGAAGTCCTATTATTTGGCTTGGTGTTTATTAAAGATGAGACGTCAGCTGAAGGATGAACTTGATACTTAAGGGAGTAGAAAGGAAACTCACTAAATCATGTTAAGATTTAAATGCTGTCATCACTTCTGTTTGAGAGGGAGTGTGTGATACACTGGCAGTGGGTTCTTAGATTTTAGGAGCTGTAACTTATAGCTGGTGAACTGATCTTAGGACCCGCACGGTGGGAGAAGAGAATTGACTCCTACAACCTAGAGACCCCTGACCTGCACGCGTGAGTGGTCTGTGTGACCTGCCCTTCCTGCCATGCACAGACAGTGTAGAAGTGCAGTGAGTAACGCTTTGCCCCGTCAGGTAAACATGGCTCTTTGAACAATTCTGTTCATTGAAGCTAATGTGTTCACTCACTGTAGTATGGGGTCATTGTTGTGGCGTGCTGGTACCAGCCTGTGCCTTCTGTTTTGCTTTTGCCATCAGCTTTGTATGTGTTTGTGGCATGCTTCTTTTTTTTTTTTCTTTTTTTTTTTTTTTGAGGCAGGGTTTCTCTGTATAGCCCTGGCTGTCCTAGAACTCACTCTGTAGACCAGGCTGGCCTCAGACTCACAGAGATCCGTCTGCCTCTGCCTCCCGAGTGCTGGAATTAAAGGCGTGCACCACCACTGCCCAGCTGTGGCATGCATCTTAAATGTAACATTGCCAGTGTCTTTGAGACTTGGCATAGCTCAACACCCACTCTGCTGGTATCTCAGCTTGGATGTGACTCCTAGAGAACTGTGTCCCCAGCACTCAGCCTCTTCCTCGGTGGGTCTAGTGGGTCTTTCAGTTTTCCAGAGTTTAGTCACCATTGTCCCCATCTTCTGTCTTTGCCATTGTGGCAAACAGGTTTTGACTGTTGGTACTTCAAAACAGTTCTCTGGCTAACATCCTGGATCAAGGAGCGTTCTGCTTCCAGGAAACTTGAATTATTTAACAGTAAAGTTGACACTTAGGGAAAAGCTGGTTTTTGTGTCTGCATGGCCACTCACTGGCTAGGTGCCTAATAGCTCCTGCCATTCTCTGAAAAATGTTTTAGCCTTAGACTCTGAGCTGGGGCAGGTGGGAAATAGAGTTGTTTTGTTTGGGGGTGGCTTTTAGACTTTAAAACAAAAACACAGCTAGAGTTGGTTTTTGCACTGTGTGTTTAACAATACCCTTGACTAGGCGTCTAAGATATTAACCAGCTTCAGCAGATAATGCGTCTGACGGGGACACCCCCTGCTTATCTCATTAACAGGATGCCAAGCCATGAGGTGAGAACAAACAGCACATTCAGGGAGGTCTAACTCAGAGGCCACCTTCTCATTGTAATGTCTCTGTCTAACCAGCAGTTTCTAATGTCACCAAATGCTTGCCTGTGCCCTCGCCGAGGACTGCTGCGGCAGTGACTGGCTGTATGCTGCCAGGGTACTGGCATTTGGGATGAAATGTCATGCAGACTGAGGCAGTGAGATAGTGTAGGCTTGTAAGTGTAATCTTCATTGGTGTTTGGTTTTCTGAATCTTGTGCTTGAGGCCCCATGTGTCTTTGTTGGTGTGTGTAGTTAGTATGTGCTACAGCTTCATCACAGGTGCGAAACACCTTCTGCTAGTGGATTGCTGTGTTTTTTTTAAAGACACAAGTGGTTCATATTAAATATGAGCACTCGGGCTGGAGAGATGGCTCAGCGGTTAAGAGCATTGCCTGGTCTTCCAAAGGTTCTCAGTTCAATTCCCAGCAACCACATGGTGGCTCATAACCGTCTGTAATGAGGTCTGGTGCCCTCTTCTGGCCTTCGGGCATACACGCAGACAGAATAGTGTATACATAATAAATAAATATTTTAAAATAAATAAATATAAGTACTCAGGTAGAATCAGGTTCTTGACCAGTTCATAACCATTACCCTATCTCCAGTCTGTAGTCAGAGGTGACTGGGGTACTTCTCACAGGCCCTTGGTATTTTGGGGAACCAGGTTATCAAACAAACAAACCATCATGGCAGCACTGTTTGCATTTCAGTTCTGTCTGAACACTCTCCTTGTCTGCACTGAAGGACAGCTTCTCTGGGGGAGATGGGTCTCTACCTCTCTCTTCACTTCCTTCTTCCAGTCCGCATGGTTATGTAGGAAGGGAGGACAGCCATGTGTGTCTGTTGCTATGACTGCAGGTTAGAGTGGGTCTCTACTGCAGTACCAGCTCCTCTTCCAGACGTAGCTGACTACGAAGACAGTCTGGGAAAAGACCGCTTCTTAGAAGTCTCGGTTCTCTTCAAACTTCTGACCCTGTCTGTGATGAGAAAACTAATGAAGGGTAGTTGATTGGTTAGCAGTCTCATCCCCAGGAAACAGAACTGTGGGTGAACAGCAAGAATACAGTCAGTCAGTGGTCTCAAATCAAGGAGCTGAGGGGCTGGAAGAGGAAGGCTGACAGGAACCACTGAGACAGTGATCCGCACTGGGTTGCTGACACTCCGAGAGCAGTAACAGTACTGAACACAGTCATTCTGAGAGTCCATGTTTTTACAGGCAAGAAACTACATTCAGTCCCTGGCCCAGATGCCGAAGATGAACTTCGCAAATGTGTTTATTGGCGCCAATCCCCTGGGTAAGTTGATCTCGTTCATTTTGTGACATAAATTGGGGACCTGAAATTTTGTTCTGTAAGTGTCTTTGCATCTTAATAAATATGGTTGTTACTTTCCGCTTATGCTGTCACATGTAAAGAGGAATCGTACTATGGGTCACCGAATATGGAAGGAGAAAGGGTGCATGTAGACACCAGAAAACTGTAGGAAGACGGCAGGAGACTAGAAGCAGACACTGATCCTCACAGCCGCTGGTGGCAGATGGGGCCCAGCTGAGGATAGAATGCAGAGACAGGGCTGTGCTTAGTGCCCAGCATCCTGTTGCCCTCCACTCTCACAGACTCTTTCCTCCTCTCTCTGCCCTTCAGGGGCCTAACCAGCTGCCTTTGCAGAGTTAATTTGCCATCTCAGACTTTAGGGAATGGCTCATTTCCTGCCCCCATCACCTCTAGGATCCCCTGGCAAACGGAAGTGACAATGGTAGCTAAGAATGTGTCTTGCCAGGGGTTGGAGAGATAGGTCAGCACTTAAGAGTACTGGCTGCTCTTATAGAGGACCTAGGTTTAGTTCCCAGCACCCACATGATAGCTCACAACTGTCTGTACTCCTCTTCCAGGTGATCTGGCACCCTCACACAGAAATACATGCGTATAAAATAAAAATAAATCTTTTTAAAAAAAAGATATGCCTTAGCCAAAACTCTAGTCACTATTCCTTAAAGATGGGGCTAATATGTACTTCGGCTGATTCCAGCATCTTGCTGAGGTGCTTGTTCCTTACTCTGGGACATTGTAGTGGGCAGTAGTAGACACAGAAGGCCAGACCACAGACTCCTGCAGTGGGAAGGGAGTGAGTGGGTGTGGCAGCTGGTGTCCTTGACCTCCTCACATTCCTGCTGCAGAGATTACTGCAGGCTGCTTTTAAAGCTTACTTCATGCGTCTGTGTGGGTCGTGTTACTTTCTGAGGCCTCCAGAAACCGTGCACCAGAGTGGACCAGAGTCAGCTGTTGCCTCCACAGAGCTGGGAGCCCGGGCAGTGGTTTCAGAAGCTGTTTCCCATGCAGGAATGCCATTCATAGCCATGGTGCAGTGGGCTGTGCACTCTCTGTGACTGTGGCGATTCCTGTGGCAGGAGAGGTGCCCGCACTCTTGGAGGAGTGAGTCCAGCCTAAGCTACATCAGTCAGGTCTTGGGAGTGCAGGGTGCTGAGAGGTTGGGTTGGCTTTGCAGCCTCCGTGGCATGCTCTCATTGGTTTAGCTGTGAAGTCTCTGTGATCTGCAAGGTCTCCGGGATGCTAGGGGATGGAGAATGAGTCCACCCCAGCACCCCACATTTCAGATGCACCGGTGCCTGTTTGGCTCCCTCTTGTCTGCCTCAAAAGGATTTCTTCTGTCTATGATTGAAGTCACACACATCCTGATAGGTGTCCCCATTTAAACACTGAAAAGAACCAGCTACCAGGAGCCAGTCCAAACTTCTGGGGAGTGAAATCTGGTGCTCAGCACAGCCTGCTCATAACCAAACATGCCTCAGAGCCTATTGCCAAGCATTGATGTCAGGGGGAACACGCTGTGTAGCTGGGCTGTACACCAGTGACCTGTTAGCTGCCCTGTGGTCAGACCCTGGCTCCGCATCACTGCTGTCACTGAGCAAAGCATAACTGAGGACTTCATTGTGTCTGCCACGATCCCTGAGAAGTCTTTTTCTTTCTTCTACCTTGTTCTCATCTAAGTACATTGGTCCTGAGGATGTGTAACTTCTTACCATAGTGTGGTAGGCACCCATCCATTTGTGTTCAGTATAAAATCAACAGATTTGTGGAAGACCATGAGAAGAATATCCAGGCAGTTCACTGGTGCTTCAGTATTGTTGAAGACAGTGTCATGTGGCCTGTTTTCTGATCCTCTGCTTTCTCTCCCAAGTGCTGGGATTACAGTGTGCAAAACCATACCCAGTGTGTGCAGTGCAGAGATTGCAGTGTGTACCACTGTGACCATCTCATTCAGTGCTGGGATTACAGTGTGCACCACCGTATCTGGTGTATGCAGTGCAGAGATTACAGTGTGTACCACCATACTCTGTGTATGCACTGCTGGTTTGAAATCAAAAACCTTGTACACACTTGGCAAGCACTCTACAAGCTACATCCCAGCTCCCCTTTAAAGTATAGGCTCACGAATCTGAGCGTCTGCATATTTCCTGTGTCTTCTGCACCTCAAAGCTTGTATTTCCTGTGGATGACTATGGAGTTCTGGCTGCAAGATGCTTGATTACTGTGATAGCAGAGGACATGATGTCTTCAGGAAGCTTTCCTCCTCCTTGGCACCCACAGCCCTGCACTGTGAAGAAACCATCTGGGGCTAAAGAGATGGCTCTTCCATGGGATCCAGTGACCTCTTCTTGCCTTCCCCACCAACAGGCATACACTGTAGTGCACATAGAATTCTAAAAAAAAATTCCGGGTGGCAGTGGTACATGCCTCTATCCCAGCACTCAGAAGGCACAGGTAGCCAGCCTGGTCCACAGAGTGAGTTCCCGGACAGCCAAGGCTGTTATACAGAGAAACCCTGTTACAAAAAAAAAAAAAAAAAACAGAAAAGAAAAAGAAGGAAGGAACCTAGAGAGCCTTTTTTTCTCATTGGTAACTGCTCAGGATGGCTTTGCCCATCAGAACATCCTCCTCCTCCTCCTTCTTCTCCGAATTAGGCAGCTCTGTTCCTCAACCTCTAGTGAGGCCATGACACTGAGGAGAGAAAGATCAGTGATGCTAAAGCCATTATCGAAAGTGACTGATGCTCACCAGGAGCCAAAATATTCCCAGATGACTCACTTGGGGAGAGAAGGAAATGCTCTCAAGATGCCAGCACCTTTAGCTTCGCTGGCTGTGGAACAAGTGGCTGTCGTGCCCCACCAGTTCAGAGCACCACGGCCTGTGACGTGTTTGTGCCCAGTGTGCCTGACTTCATTCTGACCAGAGATTTAGATCTAATTTTTTTTTTGATATATCTAAAGAATTAGAAAATGGGAGGGTGGGTACATCAGTACAGAGAAGTAGTGGAAACCTGCGATGGCTGTCTGCTGCACATCTGGAATATGCCAGTGATACACAGCCTGTCCATCCCTGTGCTCAGGAGAGTGAGTTCAAGGTCAGCCTGGACTAGATAAGACAGCTGCAGAACAACGAGAGAGAGAGAGAGAGAGAGAGAGAGAGAGAGAGAGAGAGAGCGAGAGCGAGCGCCCCATACGCAAATCCTGGTTTGAACAAGTGAGTTGTAGGAGACAGCTGTGAATTGGAGAAGGTTTGGGTTAATGACAGTGTCATGGTCGTGCAGGACCATGTCTTTGTGCTGCAGTGGTCGGGCTATAAAGTGTCATCTCAGTAATCTTCAAACAATTCAGGAAAAGCACAGAAATAAGGTGAGAAATTTGTCAGACGTGGACTGATGCCTGCATGGGGCATGGGTGCCCCTGCTGTCTTAACAGCTAGTTCTGGATCTCGGATTTTCAGTCATAAGGATCAGATGATATCTTTATCGAGAAGTATCTTTTCTCCTGCAACCCTCTGGGAAGCCCTCAACTTGCTAATTCTTTGAAATTCTGGATGAATATTTATATTGTTGGTATATAACATTATGTACTGTTATATAAGTTGTATAGTATGCTGGGGGCCTTCAGTCAAACAGCCTGCCTCATAGATTGCTTTAGCCATCAACCTTCTTTTCAATACAGTTTGGTTCAGTAGTCACAGTGTGGTATTGACATTGCAGAAAAGCTTCTTCAAAGCCTGATTTTGGGGAGTATATTTTGCTTTGTTTTTGAGGGGTTATTTTGGGGGGTGGCAAGACAGGTTCTCACTATGTAGCTCTGGTTGTCCAGGAACTTGCTATGTAGATAGACCAGGCGGGTTTCCAACCCACAGAGATCCTCCTGCCTCTGCCTCCCAAGTGCTGGGATTAAAGGTGTGAGCCACCTCGCCCAACCCAAATTTTTTGTTTCAAATCTTTCTTTTAACAGTTTGTTTATTGTCCTGGGTTTCAAACCCAGGACATGAAGAAATGTTCAGAGAAGTACATACCTTCCCAGCCCAGTAATTTTCTTTTTTAAAAAAAAATAATAAACATATAGTATATTTATTTTCATTTTTGTATATGCTTTGATGTTTTGTCTGTATGTATGTCTGTGTGAGGGTGTCAGATCATAAGAGTTAAAAGTAGTTGTGAGCTGCCATGTGGGTGCTGGGAATTGAACCCGGCCCTGGAATAACAGCCAGTGCTCTTAATCACTGAGCCATCTCTCCAGCCCCTCCAGTAATTTTCTTAAAATGTGCCAGCTAGCTTCATATGTGTTCGCACAGGAAAGGGGTTGCATACAGGAGCAGATACCTGAGAAGATTCTTTGTTTAGCTGTTGTGGTGGTGGCACTAATGTCATGTGTTCTCTTCTCGTGGACAGCTGTGGATCTACTGGAAAAGATGCTCGTCTTGGACTCCGATAAGAGGATCACAGCAGCCCAAGCTCTGGCACATGCATACTTTGCTCAGTACCACGACCCTGATGACGAGCCTGTGGCTGACCCTTACGACCAGTCCTTTGAAAGCAGGGATCTCCTAATAGATGAGTGGAAAAGTAAGTCCAGAAGTGGGCTAGCATGGTCTCAAGAGCTTGATTTCAGTTTATTCTTGGTTTGTTGTTTTTCTTTCTGTAGGGCTGGCTGGCTCTCTTGGAACTGGCTCTATAGACCAGACCTACCTCTGCCTCCTAAGTGCTGAAAAATGTGTACCACCATGCCCGGCTTACTGGACTCCACATGTACTGCATAAGTGTTCTACCACTGAACCACATGACCCACCTGAGAGCTTATTTTTAAAAATCTTTCCTGGGGCCAGATGGTGGTGGCACAGACCTTTAATCCCAGCACTCGGAAGGCAGAGGCAGGCGGATCTCTGTGAGTTTGAGGCCAGCCTGGTCTATAGAGCAAGTTCCAGGACGGCCAGGGCTACACAGAAAAAGCTGTCTTGAAAAACAACAACAACAAAAAAATCTTTTCTGGAAAAAATAAGAACTCATCAATGGCCACCTAGTATTGTGGTTCTGGTACTTGGGGTCATTCATACTGCATACATAGGTAGTTTGAGGCCAGCCTAGGCTACATGAGATCCTGTCTCAGTAAAGCCCTTGTGAATGGTTATTGCCAGCTCACTAAACTTACACCCATGTCTTTGGTGCATATGTTCCCTGATGCAGTCTGTAGATGCACACTCTTCACACTGACAGAGCTTTGAGGCTCAGGGGTCGTGGTTGCATTGACAGCATCTCTTTGGAATAAGTAGGAAAAGTGCATTTTCAGTGTCTCAGTTGATAGAACTAGGGCAAGAGGTTGGTTGGTTTTGGTTTTTGAAGACAGGGTTTCTCCGTAGCTTTGGAGCCTATCTGGGAACTAGCTCTTGTAGACCAGGCTGGCCTCGAACTCACAGTGATCCGAGTGCTGGGATTAAAGGCGTGTACTACCACCGCCCAGCCAGGGCGAGAGTTTTTATAGTTTACCTTTGGCCTTGTTAGAGATTGCCAGGAATAGAGCCACATCTCCTTCATCCAGTGTCAGATTCCTTCATAAATCACAAGGCCAGCTCTCATTAGCCCCCAGAGCTAGGCCTGTCGTCCACTGCAGCAGTAATGAGTGGCGGGATCCTCCCCGTGTGAAGCCATGCTGCAGGTCATGAGCAGGCAGCAAGGCAGATGAGGGAGTGTCTGCTGGCAAAGACAGCGGTCTGTTCTCACAACTCACCCTTCCTTTCCTGTCACAGGCCTGACCTACGATGAAGTCATCAGCTTTGTGCCACCGCCCCTTGACCAAGAAGAAATGGAGTCCTGAACACCTGGTTCTGTTCTGTCGATCCCACTTCACTGTGAGGGGAAGGCCTTTTCATGGGAACTCTCCAAATATCATTCAAGTGCCTCTTGTTGAAAGATTCCTTCATGGTGGAAGGGGGTGCATGTATGTGCATAGTGTTCACGTGTGTGTGTGTGTGTGTGTGTGTGTGTCTGTCTGTCTGTCTGTCTGTCTGTCTGTCTGTCTGTCTTTGTGGATGGAAGTCACTTCATGAGTTGTGGATGCTCCATGGCAGCCTCTCCTGCTTTCTCAGAGTCCGGGCAGGCTGATGGAAACTGCTCTCTTGTTAGGGATGCATTAAGTGCAGAGTAAAATTTTAAAGATCCCTATTCCTAGTTACACTTTTGCCACTCTGGCTTCTCTTGTGTTCCTGCCTTTTACCACACACCACAGTGGTGTAGAGAGGCCATCCCCCAGCCATGCATACAGCTGAAGAGGACCAACTGGCTCCTGGGCTCTAGCCTGTGGTTGGCTTGCTTACCGTGGTCTTCAGAGCCTGACAGGTGTGTCCAAAGCTGTCAGTTTGTGCCTTAAAAGGAGAAGGACGCATAGAAAGTTACAGAACCGCAGCTGCTGACATTCTGAACCAGGCCAGTGCACAGGGCTATTGGGTGACCAGTAGTGAGCTGGAAGAAACAAGGCAGCCTTCAGGGAGGCCGTGTGTGTATCTGTGTCTCTGTTTCCACACGCGCATGTGCATGCATGTCTGTGTGGCCGCCCTCCCTCTCCCAGGAGTGAGCGGTGTCTGTGCTTACCCCTCACCTCAGTACAGAGATCTCCAGTGCCAGGTGCAGGTTCCTGCTGTCAGCCGCTTCCTGTGCGCTCTTCACATCTAGCAGAGTGCGGGTGTGTTTGCATGCTTGTACAACCCCTGTCTGACTGCCAGGTGCGTGGAGACTTCCTGGCAGCCCTAGTCCACGTTGCCTCAGCTGATGCCATGGGCACGCTCCTGCCTCCTCACTCCAGTGCGCCTGTGTTGAACACAGCTGATCCTCCAGGTGCTAATGGTGCAGAGACACGCGGGACGGACAGACACCTGGAGGCCTGCCATCTGACTGTCACCAGTCAAGGGGAAACGAGGCCTTTCCTGAGAATGTCCTCAGCTCTGGATATCGTCTTCTCCTCACTTGTGATAACCAGCTAAGAAACTCTGAACCGAAGTGAGGAGCAAAGTCTTGTGGGCCAGGACTCCTTCCAGTCTCTCTCAGTAGTGTTGTTAGGGCAGAGCCAGGCGGTCAGAGGCACCTTTCCTCGGAAGGGTCCTCCCGGCAGCTTGACATTGACTGATTCTCAGTCTCAGTGTTGATTTGGGGAGAAATCAATTTTGTCTTGGAATTTTGTATGTTTTAGGAATCCTGAGAGAATGTGATTCCTTCTGATGGGGAGAAAGGGCAAATTATTTTAATGTTTTATATTTTCACCTTTATAAAGATGAAATCCTCAGGGGTGAAGAACTGTTTGCATAACTCTGAATTTCAGGCACTTTGTGCTATATGAGGACCCATATATTTAAGCCTTTTGTGTAATAAGAAAATGTACAGCCAATTCCAGTGTTGGCCGTGACAGGTCTTGTATTTAGGTCAAGAGGTCTCTATTCTCTATCAGTGCAGGGACGTGCATGCTCCAGACTGCCAGGGTGGGACCTTGCGTCATCCAGGCCAAGGAAGAGGCAGACTGGCCAGGCCTTGCCACCTCAGCGTGCACCTCAGCTCCCACACCCCAGCAGGACGCATCCTAGTGGTGTGTCTGGTTATGAAGGCGAGTGTGATTCCCGACAGTTCTGCTCGGATTACTTTATTCAGATGTCTTTGCACATGTGACCATGCTGTGTTAAGAGGCCATGCTCCAGAGCCCGGATTCACTAGAGCTGGCTGAAGAGCTCCTGGCATCCATAGCCAAATGCTGCCATCTCCCAGGTTCTCCTCCAGAAAACAAGGGAATGAGGGAACTGCTGTTCTGTGTGTATTCATGAACTCGGCTGTAGTCCCATATGCCATAGGATGTCAGGCAATACCACTGGGTAAATAAAGCCTATTTTTCAAATTCAGTGCTTTCTCAAGTTTACTGTGTTCCTCTTCATGGTGGTGGTTTCAGCATGGCCTGGCACGCGTTTCCGGCAGACCCTTTAGAGCTGTCCTGTTGCGCTTGTGGTAGAGTCAGCTCTCTGCTGTGAGCTCACACGGTAAGAGCAGCCTGGGCTGGGCCGGTAAACACCTGTTTCCACAATGTCACATGATTGAAAGGGTCCAAAGATTTTATATTTTTTTTTTGTAGCATGCATGAAGTGGTGTACAATTTGAATCCCAGTGACCAGAAATTAAGTCTGATTGGAGAATGCCCACAGTTTGCTCCATGCCCTCTGTGGCCTCGTTACAGTGAGATACACAGTGAATTTTAAATTGCTTTCTGTTTAAGTATTCTAAGCCTTTATATGCTGTATATTTTTTAAAAGATTTATTTATTATGTATACAACATTCTGCCTGCATATATACCCTCACGCCAGAAGAGGGTGTCGGATCTCATTACAGATGGTTGTGAGCCACCATATGGTTGCTGGGAATTGAACACAGATCCTCTGGAAGAGCAGCCAGAGCTCTTAACCGCTGAGCCCTCTCTCCAGCCCCAATGCTGTATATTTTTATCTTTAAAAAGAGAGGGGGCTGGGCGTGAGCCTATGTGTGTAGGATCATAGTACATCTGCTTGACTCTGCTGTCTTCATGTCCCTGGAAAATGTCTTTTAAAACTAGTGAGCTGCATCATGGGTCTCACAGCCAGGCTCTCTCAGGGTCTTGGCTGGTGTGGGTCCCCAGGCTATCCTGGGAGGACAGTGAAGGAAGCACACAGCTGGGCGTTTGGACCCATGAGAGCCATTTTCTGGCGGCCAGCTGGAAATAATGTCGATAGTCAGACGCAACACAACACTAGTGTAGGCTCCATTCTCTTCCCCTGGCTTCCCGTGAACATGAGAGAAGGTGGCTTCCGCTAGCATGCAGGTGTGGGTAGCTCTGGTAAAATTCAGCTATGCCAGCAAGATGGCTTAGGAGTAGAGTGACTTGTCACCAAGCCTGACAACCTGAATTCAATCCTAGGAACCCACATAGTGGAAAGAAAGAACCTACTCTCAAGTTGTCCTCTGACCTCCACATAGACAGAATTTTTTTAATAAAAATAAAAATCAGGCCTTTAATCCCAGCACTTGGGAGGCAGAGGCAGGTGGATCTCTGTGAGTTCGAGGCCAGCCTGGGCTACAAGAGCTAGTTCAGGACAGGCTCCAAAGCTACAGAGAAACCCTGTCTCGAAAATAAATAAAATAAAACCAAATAAAAATCAGATAATTTGGGGGACTAACAGACCTAGACCCAGCTCTCCTGGGGCTATGAGTGGACCTGCTTAGACCAAGGAGAACTGACCCAGAAACTTGAGTGAATGAACTTCACATGGTAACCGGAGCCTCTTAGGATATAGACGGGAAGAGGAGAGGGGAGGACTCTGGTTGCTGCTCTTACCCCCAAATAGCTAACAAAAGTGTGTTCCTAACTTTCAATTCATATCCATGAACAAAGAATGATCCCAGTGCTCGGTTTTCAAGTGAAACAGTGTCTTTCAGTATCCTCATTTGTATTTTGCAACGTGGTCACAGACGTAACTTCTGTAAAAGCCAAAAGGTGGGCTGGGGAGATGTCTGTGTTAGCAGAGGAGTCGCCTTGCAAGTCAGAAGCACCCGGCTCAATCCCCAGAACCTTGTACAGATGTCTAGGTAGGGTAGCATACACCTACAAACCCAGACTGGCGGATCTCAGGCTCCCTGGTCAGCCAGCATAGTCTACTTCAGGATAGTGAGAACCCGCCTCGAAAAACGTGGGGCCTAGAGAGATGGCTCAGCAGCACTGGCTGCTTTTACAGAGGACTCGGGTTCAATTCTCAGCACCTTCATGGCAGCTCACAGCTATAACTCCAGTTCCAAGCAGTCTGATGTCCACTTCAGGCCGGTGAAGGCACCAGAGACAGTACACAGGCACACATGCTGACAAAACATCCATTAAGTAAATAATTTTTAAAGGTGGACGGTGATGCATGCACACCTGCACACACGCAAACATGCAGACAAAAAACTGTAAGAATACCTGATGACCTCTCCACCTACCAATACATTGTAGTACCCTCCATCTCCCTTACTGTTAACTGAGTCTAACTTCCCACTTCTCAGCAGCTTTACTGGAGATTTTAGTTGTCTAGTTTTTGTATCAATTTCACCAGGTCCATCATCATTTGCAAGATAGGAGACAGTTGCAATGAATTTGCTTGGTATTATTTGACATAGGCTTATGCCATGGACTATCCAAAGGCTGTCCAAAGAATACAACCATCAGGTCCTTGTACCTGCCATCAGTGTTTCCATCCTGGCGACTTTGACCTCTCTACAGTCTGGTAACTAAGAGGACTCAGTAACAGTGCAAAGAATGGGGGCCTCTTTTATACACTCTGTGTGTTCTAACATGAACATACCCACTGCATCTATGGCTCCATACACATCCCGAAGTTCTTAAGTGCAAGACAAAAACAGCTGTTGAGCGCCACATTCTCCCTAGTAGAAGGTATTGGAGACAACCTAAGAGGCTGTCTTAGTTGGGGTTTTTATAGCTGTGATGAAACACCAGTCCCAAAAAGCAAGTAGAGAAGGGAAGGGTTTATTCAGCTTATACTACACAATGCTGTTCATCTCTGAAGGAAGTCAGGACAGGACCTCAAATGGGGCAAGAACCTGGAGGCAGGAGCTGATGTGGAGGCCAGGCCCAGGAGTTGTTTACTGGCTTGCTTCCCCCTGGTTTGCTCAGCCTGCTTCCTTATAGAACCCAGGGCCCCCCAGGCCAGGGACAGCACCACCCACAGTTGGCTGGGCTCACCCCATAATCCACTAATTAAGGAAATGCCTTACAGCTGGATCTCATGGAGGCATGTCCTCAGCTAAGGCTCCTTCCTCTCTGATGACTCTAGCCTGTGTCGAGTTAACACACAAAAGCATCCAGTACAGAGGCCATCTGTGCAAGGGAGCCCCACACAGACCCATGGGTTGTCATCTGAGGTGCATGGTGGGAAATAAAGCAGTGACATTCCCAAAGTATGCCCTCCCCCTTTCTCACCGGTCAGTGGTGAAGGCTGAGGATCCCCAGAATGTTTGGGACCAGGCACATTTTGGATTTCAGAGTTAACAGTTGGGTATCTCTAATCAGAAACTCCAAGCTCTAAAATGTCCTAAGTGGCAAATCCAGTGAGGACATCCCAGTCTTCAGACTTGAGAGTGGCACACTCTGCCTAGCTATGGCCAGGAGTCTCCTAGAGGCTTACACCCTGAAACAGCGTTTCTGATTGGCTACAGCTAGAATGTCTGGTTCTTAATCATAACGAGGAAGATCTTAAGAGTAAACCTGGCTCGAAGACTCGGTTCCCATAACCCTTTCTCTGTTACAGCCTGCATCTAACTCCCTTGCTGCAGGAGAGCCCTACCCCAGAGGGGAGGAGCCATACCCTAGAGGGGAGGAGCCATACCCTAGAGGGGAGGAGCCATACCCCAGAGAGAGGAGCCATACCCCAGAAGGGAGGGGCCGTACCCCAGTGGGAGGGTCTGGTAAATTCCTCCCCACAGTCAGCGTTTCTGGGGGATCTGAAGCAAGGGTTTCCAACTTTGCCACTGCTGCCATCTCGGCCAGATAATTCTTTCTCACAGAACCGCCCTTTCTGTTCACCCTTGACTCCACCCTCTAGACGCCAGCAGCGCTCATTCTCCCTTCCCCCGTGGGTAACAGCCACAGATGTCTCTAGATATCACCAAACAGTTTAAAATAATCTGAAGTCTTGCAGGAGTCCCATGCCTCTGTTCTTGAACACATTCAAGGGCAACATCTTGTAGCCTGCTGTAACTTGGAGATGTGGCTTTGACATCCCAGACACAGGATATCTTCTTTTAAAAGAACAGGACGGGAGGGGGAGGGAAGAGGGGTTTAAAGGGAACAGAAGAAGGGGAGGGAGTGGGAACTGAGATTGGTATGTAAAATGAAAAAAGATAGTTTGTTTTCTAAATAAATAAATTTATAAACCTAAAAGAAAAGAAAGATAGCTATCTGGGCCTAGTAGCACACACCTTTAATCCTAGCACTTGGGAGGCAGAGGCAGGTGGATCTCTGTGAATTTGAGGCCAGTAAGTTCCAGAACTGGCCAGAACTGAGTAGTAACAGACCCTGCCTTGGGAAAAATAAAATAAAATCAATGACCTTTTTAAAGACTGACATGTGTCTTGAAAAAAGTCAAACATTTCAGAAGGAAGACCTCAGACACACCTCACCTGTAACCCCAGTAGGTAAAGGTTCTTGCCTCCAAGGCTGAGAACCTGAGTTCGAATCCTGGGGCTCACAGGGTGGAAGGAGAGAACCAACTCTTGAAATCTGCCCTTAGACTCGCACACACACACACACACACACACACACACACATGCCATGGCTCATGTGCTCTCCACACCACAGAGTAAGTAACTGTCATAAAAAATGTAGATGGGAGCTGGAGAGATGGCTCAGAGGTCCTGAGTTCAATTCCCAGCAACCACATGTGGCTCACAACCACTTGTAATGAGATCTGGTGCCCTCTTCTGGCCTGCAGGCATACATGGAGCCTGAACATTATGTACATAATAAATAAATAAATGTTTAAAAAAAACGTAAACGGAATCATACGTCAGTAAGCTGCGTCAGATGACTGAGTAGCTGCTTCCTCCCTGGGAGCACAGTCATTGCCAGACAGAGGGAGAATGGGCATGGAGGAGGAAATGAAGCCCAGAAGCCACGAGGCTAACGGGTTTGCCGAGGGTGAAATGGCAGGACTTGGTGAGGCTGGTTGCCGCCAGGAGCCTTACCCGCTGTCCTGCTGTCCTGCTCCAGTGTGACTGTCCCGAAATGCGGACAGACAGCATCTCCTGTACCAACAGAGAGGTGAAGCCGACCTCCCGGTTCGCGGCAGCAGTGTGTTCAGACAGAAATATTTCACAGCCAAGAAA